TTCAGCAGAGCTCCAAGGGCTGCAGCCAGCTGTGGCCCTGGCAGGGTTTGACACCCTGGGGTGCAGTGAGTTGGGTGAAGCCTCACCTGCCCCCAGACAGGACAAGCACAGGGTGGATCCAACAGCACTCACAGGCACGTCCCCTCCTCTGCCAGCAGCTGCCACCCTGGTGGGCAGGGGTGAGCAGAGGGGTCAGCCAGGGGTGCCCAGGGAAGGGACAGGGAGCAGGAGGCTTCCATGAGAGTGGCTGACCAGTCCTCTTCCCTCCCTCATCCCCACCTTTCAGCCACCCAGCATAAAAATATTTTCCTTTTTTTTTTTTTTCTTTTTTTTTTTTCCTTTCCCCCACTCTGTTCAAGGCCTGGCTCCCTTTCAGCTTCCCAGAGCAGAATGTTTCTGTGCTGGATGAGGGATGACATCCGGGCCAGCCCCAGACACGCCGTCACGTCTGATCCAGCCCAGCCGTCTATCACAGCTCCCATCTCCTTAGTGCTGAGCTGGCAGCACTCCAGGCCTTGGGAATGGGCTCCCAGCCCCTCCAGAGGACACAGCCAAGGACTTGGATTCATTAGCATTTTGAATTGCAGCTAATAAATACTCCTCTGGCATTTGGAATGGGATGGGGGACACAATGGGGATGTCCTTGGGATGCTGCAGGGTTTGGCTGATGGAGGCAAAGGGACAAGGGGCACCCACTGGGGCCCTCTGTGGGCTGCAAGCTTGGATCTCCTCATGGGGAGGGGGAGAAAGGGAAGCAGCACATTCCCCATGGAGAGGGGCAGGCAACATGACCACCACTGGATTCAGCATCACCTGCTCACCCTGCAGTGGTCAAAACTCACAAACTCACAGAATTCTGCACCCAGGCCCCTGTGGATTGTCCCACCATAAAAACATGTTTGGGAATGGGCTCCAGGCAGTCCCTTGTGTCTCAGGCCCAAAGCAGGGAGGTGACAGGGGACTGGCACTGAGGGATGCAAGGACAGAGGGCTGGGAGCTCCAGCTGCAAGCACAGCAGCTCCCAGGGCTGCCCCAACGGTGTCCCCAGACACCTGAATGCTCTGGCCACAGTGCCCACCCTGCCTCATTTCTGGCTCAGCCTAAAAAACGAAATAAAGGTGAGGAGAGAGGGTACAGACCTGACTCCTACTCCAAGACCTGACTCCTACTGCAGAGCAGCTCCTCCTCCTCATGCAGGGCTCAAAGATGCCTGCACAAACATCCCAAAACAGCCCTACCCTATAATACACCCCCTCTGATGTCCTTGCAAGCTCATCTTGTCCTGGTGTCCCTTGCTTGCCCCTGAGAGATGATCTTCCCTGAGAGATGACCTCTCCTTAGAGATGACATTCCCAAAGGAATGACCTTCCCTGAGGAATGACCTTCCCAGAGGGATGATGACCCCTGGAGCAGCAGGTTAAGTGGTGAGCAATAGCTGGGCAGGACAGATGAGAGCATCAGAGACAGCAAGCAATCAGTTAATGGGCTCTGGGGCTCTCAGACCAATCTCATCAGTGACCACGAGCTGCAGAGAAATGATGACAGGCCAAGGCAATAGAAACAGGAGCCAAAGGAGGAAAGCAGGGATGGGGGAAGGGGGAATTGAGAGAGGGAATAAAATAATCAAAAACCCAGGGAGAAGATGTAGAACACACAAGCACCATACTGAGCTGGAGACCTGACAGGCTCAGCTGCTGCTCAGGGGGGAAAAACAAAACCCCTTTATCTACCTCCACACCCTGCCAATAGAGAGTGGTGTCAAATCAATTTATTGCCTCTCCCCTGACAGTCAGTCAGGCTCCTGCAGTGCTCAGAGCCCTGTCACAGGCAGCAGGGAAGGGAGAGCAGCACACGGAGGAGGCTGCTCAGATTCCTGCTGCTCGTGATCAGCAGGAGATGGATGGGTGGCTCCTGGCCAGAGCAGCTCACAGTCACAAGACTCAGAACCACACTGAGTTGTGTAAGGTTCCCTGCAAGCCTCCCTGGGTTTGCATGGAGAGGCTCTCGAGTGTTGTAATGGATGGGGCTCATGGGTTTGGGGAGGGAAATGCCCTTCCAAGGAGGCAGAGTTGGTGCAAGTGTGTGAAGTGAGGCTCTTCAGGCTGATCATGTTCCTGAGAGTGCTGTTTGCAAGGAGAAAGAGGCTCAAGAAGAGACCAACACTTCATGGGGTACAGAGAAGTGTTTCCACTTCCCCACTGGAGAACAGCAACCACACTGAGCTGCAGAGTGGGACCAAAGTGTCCAAATCCCAGTCCTGTGACTCACAAGGGAATTGCTCACGAACACCAGAGTGCTGGGGATCAGCAAGCCCAAGGCAATTCATGTCTCACCACCATCCCAGTTTGTGTCTCATCACATCCCAGTTTGTTTCTCACCACCATCCCAGTTTGTGTCCCATCACATCCCAGTTTGTGTCTCACCATCCCAGTCTCTCCCCACCCTCCCAGTTTGTGTCCCCACCATCCCAGTTCATGTCTCACCATCCCAGTTTGTCTCCCCCCTCCCAGTTTGTCCCCCCCAGCAGAGGCACACCCACCCACTCACTCTTTGGGGGGGCTCAGGTCGTCGGGCCGTGTCTCGAAGAACTGCAGCACCTCCTCACACTGGGAGATGTAGGGGGGCAGCTGGATCAGAGCCTGGGGAGCAAACACACACACACACACACACTGCTGATAGCAGCATCCACACTGTGCCAGGAGCCCAGTGCAGGGACCTGGGACACCAGTGGCACCCAAGGGGTTCCCAGCACCAGACCCAGAGAGCCCCTCTCCCACTCACCACCCACCCTGCTGCAGTCAGACTGAAGCAGAATAAGCAGAGACTGCCCCAGACAGCTCCAGCCTTTGGGGCAGATGTTGTGCCAGAGGCTGGGAGCCTACCCAGCGTCCCAGTTCCATTTCCCATCCCTGGGAAAGGCTGGGCACTTTACACATGGCAGGCTCTCAGTGCCACCTCAGCACAGCCTAAAAATGCTCCTTCGGGCAATGGGAACTTGGGAAGGGGCAGGGAGAGAAGCAAAAGGAGGCAAGAGCACAGACACCAGGGCTGGGAGGCTGCTGTGCTTCTGTGGAATGGCAGGAGATGGAAAATTCCCTCTGCTTTTTTCCCTTCAAGGAATCTCAGACCCAGAGAGCCCCTCTGCCACCCACCACCCACCCTGCTGCAGTTAGACTGAAGCAGAATAAGCACAGACTGCCCAGGCCCTGCTTAGCCAGCTCCACCTTTGGGGCAGATGTTGTGCCAGAGGCTGGAGTGCCCATGCAGCCTCCCAGTTCCATTTCCCATCCCTGGGAAAGGCTGGGCACTTTACACATGGCAGGCTCTCAGTGCCACCTCAGCACAGCCTAAAAATGCTCCTTTGGGCAATGGGAACTTGGGAAGGGGCAGGGAGAGAAGGAAGAGGCAAGAGCACAGACACCAGGGCTGGAGGCTGCTCTGCTGCAGGAGATGCAAAATTCCCTCTGCTTCTTTCCCTTCAAGGAATCTGTTGTAAAAAAAGCTTCAACAGTGGGACCTGCAGGGTGAGAGTGCCTGGCTGGGAGGGCAGAGGGAAAAGGGAGTATTTCAGATCAGGGAGCAGAGCTTCAGCCTGAGCTGGAGCAGATTTATAACCAGATTTCTGCACAATTCCCCCTCCCCTCTGTTTGCAGTCCCGTGACAGCAGCGTGGGCACAGCAAACCTCCTCTCATTTCTATCCTGCACACAAAACCACAGCAGCAGAGCCCTGGGGTGACCACAGAGATCAGATGTGGCTCCTCACTGCCCCAAGAGCTGGCCCAAAGCCCTTCCAGCCATGAGCAGCAGTGCCTCAGTGCCAGCACAGCAGCCTGTCAGCCCACTAATCATGGGCCAGACTGAACAGCATCATGTGAGACACAGCACAGAGAAAACCACTCCTTCCATGGCTGCTGGGCTCAGGGAAGGGCTATTCAAATATCAGGTTTTGCGTGGATGCCATTCCCATGTGGTACCACTCCCCAGCTCCAGCATCCCATGATCTAAGCGATTTCCCCTTGCCAAAATCTCTGGGTTTTGTGGCCTGGAGAAGGCTCTGTGCCCTCAGAAAGGAGGGGATGATCCCAGAGAACACCCTGGGCTGGAAGGAGGAGACACAGGGCCCACAGCTCATTTCCAGCACGTTTGGAAGGAAGCCCACCTAGAGCTGGCTCTGCCGAGCCAAGCAGGCCACAGCTGTCCTGCTGGCCACAGAAACAGAGGCACAAACAGCCTGGTGTCTGTCTGTCCCACCTCTGGCCCTGCCTGGTGTCTGTCTGTCCCACCTCTGGCCCTGCCTGGTGTCTGTCTGTCCCACCTCTGGCCCTGCCTCCCAAAGCAGGGCACAGCTTTGGTGCTGGAGCCACAGCCAAGTCTCCTTTCCCATCCTTCCTGCAGGCCTGAGGGGAAAGGACCAAAGATACAGGATCCTTGTTGGGTTAAAATCCATTCTGCAGGCAGTGAAAAAAGATTTTCTTGCCTTTCTCAGGGCAGCAGCATTCTCAGTGGGCCACCCAGTCTCTTTGGGGTAGAGCATCATCACTCCTCCATCAACCCCCTCTGACACTTCCCCAAAATCCCTCAGACAGGAGGAAGGCAGATCCCACACCATGGGAAAGACCAAAGAGAATAAACTGGAGGAATGAGAAGACATTTCAGGCCTCTACTTCCTCTCCTTGCCAATCCATGGCTGTCCCAAGTCTCATTTAGCAACTCATTGCTCCTACCAGTTTGCTCTGATTCCTTCACTGCTTTTCCTGCACTTTACCTTAAATTGCCACGTTTTCCAGTACAGCAGGAGCTGGAATAGAGCCCTGTGAAATCAGTGCTTCCCTTCATCTCCTCCTCCCTGGCTTCCACCCCAAATCTCACCCATCCTCTTTGCAGGGCTCTCCCAGAGAACCAAAACACCCAACTTCCCCCAGAGGAGATGATGGCAATAAAGAAAACCTTCCTCTCTCAGCTTCCTCCTGCTAACCCCCAGCTCATTTGCCATCTCTGCAGCCCCAGAGCCAGCTCAGCCCAGCTGCTTTCCGGGTAAGCAGCAGCAGCTCAAGGCCAGGAGGGAGAGCTGGGCACTGCTGGGTGATGCATTAAAGCACAGCTCCCTAAGTGGGTCACAGAACATCAGCCATTACCTTCCTCTTGTTAAGGAGAATGGCTTCATTATATTTGATGCCACTAATGGCATCGCTCTGCAAGAGGCAGCTGCAGCATTTCATCACTGAGGGACGTTTTCTTGCCCAAAATGGGATTTATGGCTGTGTCTGTCTGTGCAGTGACACAGCTCAGTGGCCAAGCACCATCAGCTCCCCCAGGACAGCTCAGAGCACACCTTGCACCCCACCTTGGATTCCCATCTGCAGCCCCTCTGCAGAGCTGTCAGGATGCGTTTCCCACTCCATCTCCATCCCTGGGTGTCACAGACATCTTTTCATGAAAATCCTTCCTTGAGGATTTTTCCTCCTGAGAAGCTGAGAGCCCTCAGGAACAAAATGTAAACATTGATTATCTGCTGCTGTGGAATGCAACAGGTGCATCTGGGATTGGTCTCATGTGGTTGTTTCTAATTAATGGCCAATCACAGTGAACTGGCTCAAACTCTGTCTAAGCCACAAACCTTTGTTATCATTCTTTTCTATTCTTAGCTTAGCCTAGCCTTCTGAGATGAAACCTTTTCTTCTATTCTTTTAGTATAATTTTAATGTAATATAGATCATAAAATTATAAATCAGCCTTCTGAAATATGGAGTCAGATCCTCATCTCTTCCTTCAACATAAGACCCCTGTGAACACGGTCACACCTGGGGTTGTTATTCCTCCCTGGCTGAGCCCCAAACCCCAGAGCCTCCCCCACCCCACACAGGCACTGCCACACCTCCCTCACCTCAGGGATGCCAGGGGGATTTTACCATTCCTCCATTTCTCCCGTGGGTTTTACAGTCTTTGCGTAAATTTCCAACAACATTCAGACTGGATTTTGGAGGTGCCAGTCCTACCATGGCTGCTGCAAGCACCAAAGCATGTTTTTGACACGATGAGATGTGACACACTGGATTTGTGTGAAAATAGTTCGTCGTGGACTTAAGAATTTTGTTTCCCCTGCCAAAAAAAATCTGCCCTAAAAATCATAATTTCCCTTACACTTCAGCGCAGTTTTATATCCTTCAAGGGTATGGAGCAAATTGTCTCAGCCTTCTCTCTGTTCCAATAAATTTCTGAGGTACAACTCATCTTACCCTGGTTTTGTAACCAGTAACTGGAGCCTGCATCCCAGTTTGGAGCCACCCCACCATCCTATAGCCTCAAGTGCTGTCTGCCACATTAAACAGGAGGAGCTTTCCCAAAAGATGGGAAAGGAAAGGCTCTGAGGAGCTTCAAACCAAATCCTGCATGGAGCCATTTCACTGCAGACTTGTGGTGATGGACACAGCCAGGTGATGCCCAGCCCTTCCAGAGCTGGCTGTGCTCTGCAGCTGGAGAAGGGACAGGAGGCAGGCAGAGCCCAGCAGGAAGGTGCAAGCTGCACCAAGGGTTGGATATGAGGAAAAAAGTTTTTCACAGAAAGAGTGATAAAGTTCTGGAATGTTCTGCCCAGGGAGGTGGTGGAGCCACCATCCCTGGGTGTGTCTAACAAAGCCTGGATGTGGCACTGGGGGCCAGGGTTTGGTTGTGGTGCTGGGGCTGGGTTGGACACGATCTTGAAGGTCTCTTCCAATGCAGTGATTCTGCGATTCTGTGTGGCTCTGTGTGTGATCCTGTGTGGCTCTGTGTGTGATCCTGTGGGATTTTGTGTGACCCTATGGGATTCTGTGTGATCCTGTGGGATTCTGTGTGATCCCATGTGTGATCCTGTGATCGGGATGCCCTTACCTTGCAGTACTCATCGATGGGGATCAGCCGTTTCACCGCCACGTCGCGGATGTGGCTCCGGCGGAAGAGAATCTTCCCTGAAACACCAGAGCAGACAGGGACACGAGGTCAGCTCTGCACCCTTTGGGATCACTCTGTCAGGACCTTTTCCCTGTTCCCAAAAGCACCATACCCAAGAAAACCCCGTTTCCTCATATGGGTTAAACACCTCCCCAGAATCAGGCACAGTTCAAGTGGCAAGGAGAGAGAAGAAGAGAGCCAGGAGAGAGAAGAAGAAACAGCCCCCAGCAAACTGCATCCTCTGGTCTCTCACCAGTGATGAGGAGCATCCCCCACACAAATCACACCCCTCTGTTTGCTGCTGTGCAAGTCTGGGCTGGACAGAATCCCTGGCAGAGGCTGCAGGACATCCCTTGTCCCATTGTCCAGGGTGTCCAGCTCCAGTGTGGCAGCAGCCAAGCCCAGAGGGTTTTTCCCTGTGCAGCTCCTGGAAGCCACAGTGTCTGCAGCTCTGAGTCAGACCTATAGAATTTTCCTTCCTGTCTGGGGTTTATTTTTGTTCTCCATTAATGGGATCCTCTTGCCACTCTGTTTCCTCCCCTCTGGTTATGGTACAGGCCTCTTTCCTTTGAAGCCTAATGAGTCCTAAATGCTTCAAGCTGCTCTCTCAGAGAACAGCCTCCCTGGTTCAAGGAGACAAAAGCCATTAGCAGACAGTGAAACAGATCCCTGATCAAAAGGGTTGGTGCTGGCAGCATTTCAGAGCACTTCCCAAAGCTCCAGGAACTGCTCTGCACCACCATCACCTGCAAAACTGAGCTTTGTGGCAATGAAGTTCCCTCAAGTTCCTCCTGGCAGCTCTAATACCACAGGAAAGTCTTTTCTGTGCCTGTTTGGGTTTCCAATCCCACCCCTGAACCCCAGGAGAGCAGCAACCCCTTCATTTATCAAAGGGAAAGCCAGAAGCCAAACTCCCCTCGCTCCACCCTTGCCAACCACATGGGAGCAGGGAAAAAGCCCCTGGGGAGCCACACCATGTCTTTGTCCCTTTGTCCCCTTTCCCATGGAATTACTGAATCCAGGGGCTGGATGCTACCAAGAGCAGGGCACAGGAAAATGGTCACATGGTTCTGGCAATTTGAAACCCTGGGCTGAGTCATTGATCAGAGTGTGAACTCCAGGGCTGGGTGATTTATCCCAGTTTGCAATGCAGGGCTGGGTCACCCCCTGTGCCTCTCCCTGACTTGGCCAGGGGCTGCATCACGGGTGACTTGAGCAAGCTGCCAATGCATTTTTGAAGCAGAGATGAACTAAAGCCAAGCCAGCTTCAGCTTGCAAAGAGCACGAGCAAGAACCTCCTGGAGGAGCCAAATCTCCTGCCAGGCTCAGTGAATGCTTTGGAACAGGGCTGGATCCATTCAGAGGCAGCTCCATCCTTGCCCTGCAGGGGAAGGGAGGGGGTCAGGCAGCTCAGCCCAGCATTGCTCCTCATTTCTCCTCAATTCTGGGCCCTTGGCAGCAGGGCTGGGACAGGGATGGTGGGAAATGCTCTGATCTGCAGTGCATTCCCTCTCAAAGTGTGCCAATGTGATGGTGCTCACAGGGGCTCTTGGATGAGGGAAGAGACAAGGATCTGACTCCATGTTTCAGCAGGCTTGATTTATTATTTTATTATATAAATTACATTAAAAGTATACTAAAAGAATAGAAGAAAAGGTTTCATCAGAAGGCTGGCTAAGAATAGAATAGAAAGGAATGAATGATAACAAAGGTTTGTGGCTCAGCTCTCTGCCCAAGCCAGCTGACTGTGATTGGCCATTAATTAGAAACAACCACATGAGACCAATCCCAGATGCACCTGTTGCATTCCACAGCAGCAGATAACCAATGTTTACATTTTGTTCCTGAGGCCTCTCAGCTTCTCAGGAGGAAAAATCCTAAGGAAAGGATTTTTCATAAAAGATATCTGTGACATGTCAAGAAGAGCCAAATCTGGCAGCCTTTGTGACAAAATCCCCCTCTATTCAATCTTCTCCTATTTTGAGGGTGAACAGCCTGGGAACAGGGGATTTCTCTGGTGAGATTGGGACCAGCACCCAGGCTGGAGCTCCACTCCTTGCCCTGAGCAATAATTTTCCATCTGACAAGAGAATGATCAAGTTTTGCCTTTGCATCAGCAATCCCAGCGTGTTTGCTGCTGAGGATCCTGCCTGAATGATGATTGCTAAAAAGATGAATGGATCACACCAGTTCTGCTGGCAGAGGTAAGGAAGGGCTGTTCTGGTTCTGGGCCTGCCAAAGTGAAATCACTGCTGGGTGGGTAGGTTACAAATGGCTGAAATAATAAGCTCTGGGTGTGGGAATATTGAAATGTTTAACAAACATATGCTAGTGAGTAATAATAAAAAGAATACAGTTTGGGGGAATAAATTCATCACAAGTGATCTTAAATTAGCCCAGGCATGGAGCATGTGAAGCAGCAGGAAACCCAGCTCCTCTCTCCATTTGCTCTAGAGCTGGTATTTTTCAACAAGGAAGTTTATTTTCTAACAAAAAGCTGACTTTAATCAAAAAGCTAAATTACCATAATTGCAGCTCCTTCAGTGCTGCCAAATCCAGCAATAGAAACCCTTGAGCTGACAGGCAGGAGAGAGCAGGAAACCCCTTCCCTCGTGCAAGGGAGAGGTGGGCAACCTGCAGCATTTCCCTGGGCAGGTTTGCCTTGGCCCACACCTAAATCTGAGAATTTATGCAGGAATTTCAGCAGAAATTCCAGTAGGGATTGCTGTCCAGTGGGGCTTTTCCCATGGCCCAAGACAACAAAGCACAAGTGTTGCAGACATCTCTTCATGAAAAATCTTTTCCTTAGGATTTTTCCTCCTGAGAAGCTGGGAGGCCTCAGGAACAAAATGTAAACATTGATTATCTGCTGCTGTGGAATGCAACAGGTGGATCTGTGATTGGTCTCGTGTAGTTGTTTCTAATTAATGGCCAATCACAGTCAGCTGGCTCGGACAGAGACTCTCAGACAGAGCCTTTATGATCATTCTTTGCTATTCTATTCTTAGCTTACCTCGCCTTCTGATGAAACCTTTTCTTCTATTCTTTTAGTACAGTTTTAATGTAATATATATCATAAAATAATAAATCAAGCCTGCTGAAACATGGAGTCAGATCCTTGTCTCTTCCCAAATCCAAAAACCCCTGTGAGCAACATCACACACAAGGGGGGCACAGGAGACTGAGGGGTGCAGAGAGCTCCTGAACAATGCTGCAGCCACAGGGGATGGCTCCCCCCTCCTCATTCCCAGAATTCTCTCCCTGGAGCTTTTCTGGCTGCTTCCAGAGCCTGTAAGAACCCTCAGGCAGGCCCTGGCAGTGCCCAAGGCCAGGCTGGACAGGGATGGGAGCACCTGGGACAGGGGATGTGCCCTGCCCATGGCAGGGTGGGTGAGGTGACCTTTAAGGTCCCTTCCAACCCAAACCATCCCATGGCTCCACATTCCAAACCCATTTTCCCCTCCCTGCCCCAGGATGAGCAACACCAAGGACAAGAGAGGTGAAGGGGCAGCTCTGCTGGGGATGGGTTTCCATCAGCTGCAAAGGCCAGAGCTGCTGCACGCTCCATTTGCTCAGCTTCCCTCTCTTGTCACGATGCCAGGAGTCAGAAATAATTAGATTTTCTTATTTACATAGATAATGTCATGCATGAGCAATGAGCAGCGAGGCTCCATCCCTGCTGGCAGCAGGAATTCCCTCCAGCAGGAAGTGTGCTAAAATCCACTGTAAAAACACCCTGAAAATGCACTGTCCTTCAGAGAAACAAACAAAGCTGAGAGAGCATGGAACATTTATCACCCAGGAATGTGTCAAACAAGTTGATTTTGGAAAAAGGCAGCTGAGATAAGGCTCCAACACACAATGGCTGTGCAAGCACCCACGCTCCAGAATGCGCTGCCTGCTTTTTCTGGACTTTAAAAACCTGTTAATCCCTACAAAGGGAAAAAAAAGCTCCACTGAAGGGATTCTGTCTGGCCATGAAAATTCCTCTGGTGCCAGAAAGGATCTGATCCCCAGGAGTGGAAGAACCAAACTCCTCTGTGGGTAATCAAGGCTGATTTGCTTTATCTGATTGATCCAGAGCAAAAATTGATGGAGCAGCCCCAAAATAGGGGGGGGCTGGAAAAAAAATGCAGCCAGGTCCCCATTGCCTCAGGTTTCACTGGGACAGAGCAGTGACCGCCTCGACAGCGACAAGTTTTGTCCCATTTCCATCACAGAGGTTTTGTGGGGAGATAAAGCATCCTCACAGTTATGCTGGGAGTTATGCTGGCCCCAGAGCTCAGAGCTCAAACCCTGACCCCAGAGCTCAAACCCTGGCCCCAAAGCTCAGAGCTCAAACCCTGGCCCCAAAGCTCAAACCCTGGCCCCAAAGCTCAAACCCTGGCCCCAAAGCTCAAGCAGGCTGATGGGCTGGGGAGGGAGCAGAAAGCAGGGCTAATTCTGCTTTTAAAAACAACCTCCCCAACCCCTCTTTGTCCTGCTCCCTTCACTCAGAACCTCACTGCTAAATCTTCCTGAAAAGCAATTTTACAGCCAGAGTGAGCTCAGCCTCAGGCAAGCCCTCCTTGCAGGGGCTCACGTTTCCAGGCAGGCAGGCAGGAGAGCTGGCCAGGAGCTGCTCCAGCCCCTGGGGCTGCAGGGAGCCTGGAAAGCTCCACGTTCCTCAGCAAAGCTGTTTCCTGAAGGATCTGGCACAGCCCTCCCAGCTGAGCTCATTTGTTTGCTCTGCTCCTCCTCTCCTTTCTTTCTTTCTTTCTTTCTTTCCTGGGGTCTCCATTGCCCTGTGCCAGNCCAGGGCAGGAATGGCCCAGGAGAATGGAGATCCAGGCTGGCATTCCCTCCTGCTGGAACCCAGTGCTTGCTGCTCTCTGCCCTCCACATCAGGAGCATGTAGATAACACTCACTTCACCTCTGAGCACTCCTGCCAGGAGCCTGGGGTAAACAATGGAGGAGGAGGAGGAAAAAGTGGAGGAGGAAGGGAAGGAGACAGAGGAAGGCAAGCTCTGAGCTCAC